CTTTGAGGGAAAGACATTCTAATTCCTATGATTTGCCTAAGAAAATGGAAATTCTAGTTTCTATGACTTGGTTTGTAGGGAAAAAGAAAAGCAGAAGGAAGCTGATGAGAGAAAATTTTCATATAGAGAGCATACCGTACGTGATTTTTTTTTTAAAAAAAAGACTTATTTATTTATTTTGCATACAGTGTTCTGTCTGCATGTATGCCTACATACCAGAGGGTTCCAGATCTCTTTATAGATGGCTTAAGCCACCATGTGGTTGCTGGGAATTGAACTCAGGACCTCTGGAGGAGCAGCCAGTGTTCTTAACCTCTGAGCCATCTCTCCAATCCCCATTGTGAATTATTTTATGGTTCTGGCATGTTCATAGAAGTCTTTATACAAAGTGTAAACATGCTCCTTTAGGTTAAAGACCATAAAATCTTGATAGGTTCCTTTCTGCACCTTCTTGTGTTACCAAGGGAATTACTTTTTTAAAAATGTGTGCATATGTGTCTGAGTGAGTATAAGCCCTGTGTGTGGGGGTATGCACAGATGTCAGAAGATCTGTTGGCCCCCATTTGGCTAACCAGTACCAAGATGTTAACTCTAAAATCATATACATACAATATACACACACCTACATTATATGGATAAATTCAATATATGTCTTGTATACACATATATCATATATATGGTCCGTGTGTTTTTGTGTGTGTGTGCATGTGTGTGTATGTAACAACAATTACAGAAGAAGAAGCTATGAATTTGAGAGAAGGCACAGAGGAAACCACAGGAGGAGTTGGAGGGAGGAAAGGGAAGGAGTGATGTAATTATAATTTCAAAAAATAATTACTTCAAAGAAGAAAAAAGAATTAAACGAGGAGAACATAATGAAAGAACGAACACTCAGTTGAGCAGTGGTGGTGCATGGCTGTAATTTCAGCTCTCAGGAGGCAGAGGCAGGTGAACTTCTGAGTTCAAGGCCAGTTTGATCTACAGAGCAAGTTCTGGAACAGCCAAAGTGGTGTGGAAGGTCCTTCTGTCTATGTGTTGCTTTTATTGGTTATTGAATTAAAAAAACTACTTTGGGCCTATAGCAGAGCTATAGTGGAATAGAGGTGGGGTGGGGAACTAAACAGAATGCTGGAAGAAAGGAGGCAGAGTCAAAGAGAAGCCATGTACCCCGCCAGAGACAGATGCCAGAACTGTAGCGGGTAAGCCAATGCCTTGTGGCGATACATAGATTAATAGAAATGGGTTAAATTAATATGTAAGAGTTAGCCAATAAGAAGCTAGAGCGAATGGGCCAAGCAGTGATTTAAATAATACAGTTTCTGTGTGATTCATTTCAGGACTGAGCAGTCAGGAACCAGTAAGCGGCCTCCTAGAAGACTAGAGCTACACACACACACACACACACACACACACACCCCAAAAAAACAAAACAAAAACCCGTCTCGAAAAAACCAAACCAAACAAAAATATCACTCATATTGAAGTGAGTGGCAAGAGAAAACTTATTGCTCTGAGAGGTATACCTCAAGACTGAGTGGCACCGCAACCAGGGTGCAAGAGGGAGCATGGTTCAGAGTCTGAGGGGGCTTTGCCTTTGAGAGTAGGGAGGAGGTAAGAGCATGGCTTCTCTGGACCCAGAAACTGTTTTTCTAGATAAACAGATTTTCAAAACTGTGATGGGGAGATAAGCCAAATTGCATATTTTTGTAACCTCTGGACTCCAGGATATGTAAAGGGTAGCTGCATTAACCTTCCTGGAGTGTGGGTCTATTTTAGGGTGCTGGTTTGGGAGTAGAGGATAATCCTTCAGGATTTCTTGGAGTTGGAGTTACAGGCTGCTGTACGCTGTCTACTATGGGTGCTGGGAACTAAATTCTGAGTAGCAAGCACTCTTAACCAACCACTGAGCCATTTCTCAATTCTGGGGTATCACTTATTTTGATGTTATTAAAACTTAGCAGCATGAAGAGCAATTTGCTTATAGAGGAAATGGGTTGCCATTCACTATTTTGCATATTTGTAGTATATATGATGTAATTTCATGTGGAGACTGTTGTTCTTTTTTAAAATGTTGTTCTTTTTTAAAAAATGCTCCAAGATCCCCCCGGCAGTAGGCAGCAGAAATGCTGTAGGTCCCAAATGGTGGTAGCGGGCCATGTGGCGGCAGGCAGCGGGCCCTGGGAGCAGCCAGTCCCAGGCAGAGACAGCTGCTGGTTCCAGAGCAGTGGTGGCAGGCCATGTGGTAGCAGGCAGTGGGCCCCAGGCAGAGACGACTGCTGGTCCCCGAGTAATGGCTGGTTCCAGGCAGGGAGACACATGGCGGGCGGGCAGAAGACAGAAACATGGATGGATAGACACGATGTGCAGGGTGAGGTTGAATGTTTATTCAGGGGGTTATGGAGGAGGAAGTGTGAAAGGGGGGACAGAGAGAGAGGGAGAGAGAGAGAAGAGGAGAAAGAGACAGAGAAGGGGGGAAGCAGAGAAGTGGGGAGGGAGGCAGAAGAGAAGCTGCCTCTCCGAGAGGAAGATGGAAAAAAGAGAGAGAGCTCAGGCCAGAGGCTGAAGATCAGCCAGCCTCAGTGGATGGGGAGGGGAATGGGTATGGCTTGTCTCTTAAAGGGACCAAAACCATAACAGAGACAAACAAAATAACGTGGAAAGAGAAGAAAAAATTCCTTACCTTGTGTGTTGGTTTGAATAAGAATGGTCCCCATAGGCTTATTGATTTGAATCCTTGATCACCAGGGAGTGGCAGTATTCGAAAGGATTAGAAGGTTGGGTTTGCTGGAGGAAGTGTATTGTTGGGGGTGGTCTTTGAGGTTTCAAAAAGCCCATTATAAGCCCAGAGTCTCTCTCTTCCTGCTCTTTGTAGATCCAGATGTAGAACTCTCAGCTACATCTCTAGCACCACATCTGCCTGTATCCTGCAATGGTCCTCACCACCATGACAATGTACTAAATCTCTGAAACTGTAAGCCAGCTCAAATTACATGCTTTCCTTTTTAAGAGTTATTGTGGTGGTCATGGTGTCTGTTCACAGCAATAGTGCTCTAAGATTCCTTGCTTGGTTACTGCTCTTTGCCCATCTTCCTACTGTCACCTCTAGAATATGGCATGCCTTTGAAATGCTTTAATACATATCCACATATATGCAGGGGAGAGTCTTTCACAGGTGACTTTGCATTTGTTTATTCATTCAGTACCTATCACATAAATCATTTTTCAAATACATTGCTGAATCAAAAACATCAGGTTACAGAAAAGTGGAATCTTTAAAATATTTCTGTAGGCAGCAGATACTATCTAATGACATTGGTAGCTTTTGTGTTGGTGGAAGCGAGTGTTTTTAATACATTGCAAAAAGTTTTATTACCTGAATTACAAGGATGTTAGAGCTGACACAAAAGATGGGCAAAGAACGGCTATTGAGGTAAGAAATACAGCCTAGTATAACTTGACTATTGAGGTAAGAAATACAGCCTAGGATAACTTGACTATTGAGGTAAGAAATACAGCCTAGGATAACTTGACTATTGAGGTAAGAAATACAGCCTAGGATAACTTGACTCTGGATATTGAGGTAAGAAATACAGCCTAGGATAACTTGACTATTGAGGTAAGAAATACAGCCTAGGATAACTTGACTCAGGATCTGCAACATTTCACAATCATAGTTGTAAATTATCCTTCTGGAAATTTTTCTTAAAAATTATGCCTATGTGTATCTGCGCACATGAATTCAGCGCTTGCTGAGACCAGAGCTGTTAGATCCCATGGAGTTGGAGATAAAGGCACTGTGAGAAGCCAGGAATGGATGCTGGGAATGGAACTGTGCAATCTTACTGCTGGGCCTTCTCTCCAGCTCCTCTTCAGCAAACTTTAACGGAGACGGCCCCACCCCCACCAAAAGCTGCTTCACAGATGTTTCCTAAGAGTTTGGCCTTAAATAATGAGGAGCGGGGCTGGGGGCTAGGGGACGGTGTCACACAACAAATATAACTTTGACTCTAGTTGCTTTTATTATTATTATTTGGTTTGGTGGCTTGTTTTTTTGTTTTGTTTGTTTTTGTTTTTGAGACAAGGTTTCTCTGTAGCTTTGGTGCCTGTCCCGGAACTAGCTCTTGTAGACCAGGCTGGCCTCGAACTCCCTTTGATCCGCCTGCCTCTCCCTCCCGAGAGCTGGGATTAAAGGCGAGCTCACCACCGCCCAGCGTCGTTTTTAAATCTGCCGGAAAACTGTTTTCCTAAACTCTCTGGGGCCAAGGTTTGGGAACGTCAGACCTGAGGAGTAACAGACTTGAGGCGTCACCACACTGTAAGGCCGCAGGACGAATTTTACTCCTGGAGGCACAAAGCTTTCGTCATCCTTCTTACTCTAGGCATTTATAAGTTTAAGTTCTCCACCAAGGAGCCGGGAGCAGCCAGCGGTTGTTGACTAGAAGCCGGGCTCTAGCACGCAACCACCTGAAGCCTGAGGAAATGCCCAGGGCTCCGCTACGAGCGCAACTCCGCCCGCTCGCTTTCCAGCCCGACCGGAACGTTGCATTTTTCAAGCATCCCTTCCGAAGGCCACGCCCGGCGCCCCGCGCTCCCATCCTGCCGGGTCGCAGCGTGCAGCCCCCTCCCCGAACGCAGAGGGACGCGCCCCACAGGTTAGGGGGCGGAGCCAGTCTGGCGAGGTGGCACCGCCCACGACCCACCCCGGCGCAGAGCTGCCGCTCCAGCCGTCTTCGCAAGGCCACTGGAGCGAGGGCGGGGCAGCCGCGCGTGACACACGCACGGTCCACTCGGTTCTTTTCCGAGGTCTCTGGCGAGTGGGCGGCGTAGGGCACCACGCCCGTCCCGTCCTCTCTCGGTACAAACTGTCCCCGGACAGTTGATCCCCGCCTCCCCGCCCGAAAGAGTCAGGCGCACGGTGATGATGTCACCAACGCAAGCTCCGCCTGAACGAGACCCCCCCTCGGGAGAGGACTCTGGTGGAGGAGGGCCTTGCGCACGGTGATGACCTCAGTCCCGCCCTTCCGCGGAGTGGAGAGTTGGCGCCCGCTGTCCCCCCTCAGAGGGGCGCTGGCGCGCGGGGTGGGGCGACCTGCGGTCTGTGGGAGTGCCGCCTTCGCCTCCGCAGGGAGGAGTGAGCTGCCCGGCTGGCGATGAGCGGCTCGGGGGACGAGGGCCCGGAGGCCGGGGCCAGCCGGGCGGGGGGCCGCACTGAGCCCGAGGCCCCGGGCAGCGCGCTGAGCGTGGACTTGTCGGGGCTGCTGGGGCAGCTCGCGCGCAGCTTTGCGCTGCTGCTGCCGGTGTACGCCCTCGGCTACCTCGGGCTGAGCTTCAGCTGGGTGCTGCTGGCCCTCGGGCTTCTCGCCTGGTGCCGCCGGAGCCGCGGCCTCAAGGCCAGCCGCCTGTGCCGGGCGCTGGAGCTGTTGGAGGACGAGGAGCGAGCCGTGCGCCTGGGGGTGCGCGCCTGCGATCTGCCCGCCTGGGTGAGTGTTGCCCCCAGGTCTGCACCACCCATTTCCCCTCCTCGGTGATGGGTGGGGACTCGGGCTTCAGCCCAAGTGAGGTGTCCGCACCGCTTGCCCCGAATCTCGGCCCCATCCGGGGTCCGCACAACATGGACCCGGACCAAGTCAGGTGTGTGAGCTTAGCCGTCTGCCTCAACTTTCCTGCTGTCTGCCTACCTAAAGTGGGTGTCCACGCCCTAGCAGCCCTCTCCGCCAGCTGCTTTCCTCGGGGCACCTGACTGCCGTGGCCTACCCTGGTCCTCAGCGAAGGGCCTGCGTCTGGGTCCCACCTTGTGTCAGCGCACCCACCTCCCCGGCCTAAGTCAGGTGTCTTCGCCGCTATCCCCACCCACCCTCACGGAGGGCGAGCTGTCCAGGTCATCTGCTCTCAGTCCTCTAGACTTCCCCCTCCCCCCAACTCCAACGCTAGCAGAAGTGCGCAGGTAGTGAACACTTCCTAACTTGGCCGTATTGGTCATTGCCTTTTGCTTGGCCTTTTCCTCCCCTCCCGCTGGCAGTGACTACCGCCCTGAAGCCTACCTTAAGGGGCCCTGAGTGATACTATCTGTTTTCCCAGCCGAGTGTTTCTGCAGATCTTTTGCCAGCGCGGCGCTACAAGCCTGGAAACGTCCAGATTCTCTTTTCTGATTTAAAAAGTAGTGAGATCCAATGTGGGAAGAAGTTAATCCTAAACTCAAGAAGATTCCTTCATTTCTTAGTTGTGCCTGACACGGTTGAAGTGTTCCTGGAAAGCTTATGTTAGAATAACTGAAATCTCTGCTTCATTTTTCAAAACGCCAGATGTAAGACTAAGTATTTTGCTATGATCTTTCTAGATCCAGTGTGAACATATGTAGGCGGACATTATTAGTTTTGTTTTATCTAAAGTAACTTTCTACTTACTTATTGAGTATTTGAACCTATTGGAGCTGGCTCTATCTTTTTTCCACCTACAGTCGTTGTTAGCAAGGAGCTAGTGTCACGGTTTCAGATAAACGGAAATAGTGCGTATTCAGAGATAAATGATGCATCCATTAGGCTTGATGTATACGTCTTTGTGGAAGTAGATAATGTGAGTTTTAGAGGGAAGAAAGAGGAGGTTTTAGTGGAGAGAGAGCTTGGAGAATGTTTCCTTTCTACAGCTAGGAGACATATGGAATATATAGTACAACTATCCAAAAATAATTAAAAAGCAGGGTTCCCAAAAATCAAGAGGAACACAATAGGTAGTATTTGGTGATGACAGATAGCAATTGGAGCCAATACACCGATAGTGAGATACCCTGTCAGAACACTCTGTTAGTGAGGTATCATGTCAGAACACTCTGATAGTGAGGTACCCTCTCAGAACACTCCGATAGTGAGGTACCCTGTCAGAACACTCCGATGATAGTGAGGTACCCTGTCAGAACACTCCGATGATAGTGAGGTACCCTGTCAGAACACTCCGATGATAGTGAGGTACCCTGTCAGAACACTCCGATGATAGTGAGGTACCCTGTCAGAACACTCCGATGATAGTGAGGTACCCTGTCAGAACACTCCGATGATAGTGAGGTACCCTGTCAGAACACTCTGATAGTGAGGTACCCTGTCAGAACACTCCGATGATAGTGAGGTACCCTGTCAGAACACTCTGTTAGTAAGGTATCCTCCGAACTGAAAACTCGGCTGCACGGTGGATGTGCAGGCCAGCAGTGCTTGGGAAATGAAAGTTACTGGTATGGCACAACATCTAGCTGGCAGTAAAGCAATGCATGAAAAACAGGAAGTTAGAATGGCGAAGGTGAGAAAAAACAAGAAACGGTGCCCTTTGGAATGCTGTTGCCGTATCTTGTTTCTGCTACACTGATTTAAGTGCTGTCAGAAAGCTTGTAAAAAACGTAGTAGTTAAATGACTAAACAGCACAAATAAGACTGAAATCTTTAGGGGCAGGGTGGTACCGAATTTCAGAAATACTTGATTATTGAGCAATTAACATAAACTAGCTTTCAAAACGTGTTTGCAAACTGCAAGTATTTTCATAAGGGAAATAAAATATAGTTGCTGCCATACTGAACTAAATTTTTAATGGAATAAATTTGTAATTGGCCAGTTTTTTAAAATTGTTTTCTCCTTGCTGTGTTGGAGACAGATTTACAGCTTCCTGCCTGATAGTAGTGGTCTACCACAGACCTATATTGACAACCCCCTGCATATTACATACTTTTGTTTTGTTTTGGTTTTGGTTGGTTGTTTGGAGACAAGGTCTTACTCTGTGGCCAAGGTTGATCATCCTGCCTCAACCATGAAGTGGTGGGATATTAAGTATGTGCTAGCATGCTTATCTGGTTTCTGGGGGTTCTGGATATTGGGGTGATATTTTATCTTGAACAAGATGTACATGCCAAGAACTGTACGTGTTTTAAATGTCATTGATGACTATGAGTCCTCGTGGAGTGGAAACATGAGAAAACATTAGCTAATATGCTATCAACTTCTATTCTCGCTCACCCACAGCATTTTATTTAGCAAACTGAAAATGTAAGCTGGGCATAGGAATAAGGCAGGGCTGCACTTGTATTTTTATTTAAAAACTCACAGCTTGGTAAAGTGTAATTCTTTGCTGTTTTTCTTCCTGCCAGTAGATAACTGACATTATGCTGCAAGTATATAGAAACATCAACCTGTTCTGTACAGTGTTGCTTAACCTGGTGAAAGTTGTTCTTTTACTACTCAAACATTTGGACAATTGGTACTTGAAACAGTCTGTTTTGTTAGATATGTTCTTCTGTGCTATTGTGTACGACTTCAAAGGGAGACAACTTTCTTCCCAGTGTTCTTCTGGAAGTTTAGGAGAAGGTAACTGTAGCCAAACATATAATACTTATAGTCCTTATGTCTGCTGCAGGCATCAAAAACACACGTTGTACATGCATTACACTCATAGACATAAAATTAATTATAGGACTTTAAAAATAAGTAAATAGGGACTAGGGATAAGGCTGGGCAGTTAAGAACATTTGCTTCCCTTGCAAAGGACCTGGGTTTGGTTCCCAGCACCCATATGGCAACTGACAAACATCTGTAACTAGAGTTCCTGTGTCTATAAAACCCTCTCTGGCATGTTAGATTAAAATAAATTTTAAAATGCATTTGTAGTCTCATGTAAAGAAAGGACAAAGGCTTTCTTTGTACTTTCAAAAAGTTTTATGATACTTGTATCAGACTGGTGTAGAATTTACTTTTTGTTTTTGTTTTTTTGTTTTTTCGAGACAGGGTTTCTCTGTAAATCTTTGGAGTCTATCCTGGAACTTGCTCTGTAGACCAGGTTGGCCTTAAATTCACAGAGATCCACCTGCCTCTGCCTCCTGAGTGTGAAATTAAACACGTGTGTAATCCTAGCACTCTGAGGATGAGATACAGGTACTCGTCCCTCTTTATATTCACACCTGGTTATGTCTAAGTAGTACAGGCTGTGGCAACTGGATTGCATTACCATGTGTTCTAAATGTTCTAGTAATTTAGAACATAGTATCCTGAGGTTTCCTAAAAATAGTCAGTAAATAAATACCTTGATTCTTGTTTAACTACAATAAATTTAAATTACCAGTATGTATCCATCAGACTGTGTGTTTAGGCTTCAGTTCTGTCTGTATTTCAGATTAATATTATGCTTAGATCATATGAGTACTTTATTTATAGTTATGAGTAACATACTTTATGAAACATATCTATAAATCTAGCCTGGAGATTGATTTGTGTACCTGTAATTTTATGATGTACTGTGTGTGGCCTTTTGCATTTGGTTAACAGTTTATTAAAGCATCCCTTAATTTTCATGATACTCTGTCCAAGAGGAACTTTGTCATACTGTTATGATTTGGTGTAAAAATTAACCTGTCTTCACATTTATATTCCTTCCAGGTGCATGTCACTGACAAGCTAGTAGGTAGGCGTTCGATTTGAAGAAGGACCAGGGAAGGTTGTTTTGATAAGGGGAGTGGGTATAAAACTGTGTGAGCATGGGATTAGATGTGAACCATAGAAATCACGGCATGTTCTGTGAGACAGAAGCCCCACATGTCAACGAAGGCAGTGATGGAAAACAGTTATAAGTTGTATTTTTGGGCCCCCTTCTTTGGGGGACCTGTGCTGAGATTTATGTAGTGGTAGTTTCTTGGCCATCAGCCAACAAATAATGACAGAGACTTATTAATTAATTATGAAATCTCAGCCTGTAGTTTAGGCTTGTTTCTAACTAGTTCTTATAACTTAAATTAACCCATTTTTATTAATCTATGTTTTACCATGTGACTTTTTACCCTTTTTTCATTTCATATATCCAACTCCCTCCATGTCTTCTTAGCAGATCCTGTGCACCTAGATTCCTCCTCCTCTTCCTTTCTCTCCCTGGAAATCCCACATATACCTCCTGCTTAGCTATTGGCTGTTGAGCTTTTTATCACACCAATCACAGTAATACATTTTCAACATTGTGTATAAATATCCCACAACAGATGTATTAAGTTCTTCCTGTGATAGAAAGTGGACAAAAGACCAAGTAATGAACAGCCAGCAGTGCTCTCATTGACCCTGCTCAGGCCCTAAACGCTGCGGAACACAGTCCTCCCCCTGGACTCTCCCACACTCTTCGGAGTGAGGAGAAGGCCTCCAGTGGACCTGCCCAGACTTCTGTAGTAGGGGCAGACGTGCTTCCACTCAGCTCCACGTAGGTTCTAAAAACTGAAGAGGAGAGGTGTTCCTTTCTTGACTTTCCCCAGACATTTTTGGCAATTTTCAGATACCTGATCAAAAATAATCCCACATTCCGTAGACGTGCAGAGTTTGGGCATGGCAGGAGACATAGTAGTGTGCTCAGATGTAAGCTTGTGAAGTCAGAAAAGGAAAATTATAGCATGCTTCAGGCTCATTTCATATGCTGCTTTAGAGTCTAGAAAGCTTCCAGGCAAAGTAGCACTTGGATTGTTGTGTCCTG